GCCAAAAGAGTCTGGAAAAAGTGTGTGTGGGAACATCACACCTTCTTCAGGTGAATTCTCACACACACACACACACACACACACACACACACACACACACACAATCATGTCTTGAGTGCTGATATGTGCTCTGTGCGCAGGTTGACGTCTCCTGAACAGCCCACTAAGAGCAAGTTTCTGACTCTGGGCTCTAAGTTCCGCTACAGCGGGCGGACGCAGGCACAGGCGAGGCAGGCCAGCACCCTCATCGACCGGCCCACGCCGTACTTCCAGCGCACCTCCAGCAAACGCATCTCCCGCAGCCTGGACGGAGGTAACACACACTCGCTGCCACATCAGCACTCCGTCTCTATATTCATGACCTCAGGCTTGTTTGTTGTTTTACTCTGTTGTTTGTCGATGGCTGTGGTTCTCATCTCCTGAAATGTTTTCCACAAAGCTGTGATTTTTGTGTAGTATTGTTGAGTCCGTGTGCATGAATAGATGCAGCCTCATTGTCCCGGCTCATGGACAGACACAGGAAATGAGGGACATCTGTTTCCTGTCTGCGCAGGAGCAGGAGAGATGAGTTTAGAGCCTCTGCTGGAGGAAATGAGGCTTTTATAGGCACAACAGTCGCAGGAACCTTTATATATTCATTAGATAGACAGATAGACGGACGGACAGATGGATGGATGGATTGATGATAGATAGATGGATTTATGGATGGATTGATTGATTGCTTGATGATGGATGGATGGATGGATGGATGGATAGATTGATGCTATATGAATGGATGGATGGATGAATTGATGATAGATGGATGGATGGATGGATAGATGGATGGATGGATTGATGATAGATAGATGGATGGGTGGATGGATGGATGGATGGATGGATGAATATGTAGATGGATGGATGGATGGATGGATGAATTGATGATAAATGGATGGATGGATTGATTGATGGTAGATGGATGGATGGATGGATTGATGATAGATAAATGGATGGATAGATGGATGGATGGATTGATTGATGGTAGATGGATGGATGGATGGATTGATTGATGATGGATGAATGGATGGATGGATGGATAGATGGATGGATGCATGGATGAATATGTAGATGGATGGATGGATATGTAGATGGATGGATGGATGGATGGATGAATATGTAGATGGATGGATGGATGGATGGATGGACGAATATGTAGATGGATGGATGGATATGTAGATGGATGGATGGATGGATGGATGGATGAATATGTAGATGGATGGATGGATATGTAGATGGATGGATGGATGGATGAATATGTAGATGGATGGATGGATGGACGGATGGATGAATATGTAGATGGATGGATGGATATGTAGATGGATGGATGGATGGATGAATATGTAGATGGATGGATGGATGAATATGTAGATGGATGGATGGATATGTAGATGGATGGATGGATGGATGAATATGTAGATGGATGGATGGATGGATGAATATGTAGATGGATGGATGGATTGATTGATGGTAGATGGATGGATGGATTGATTGATGATGGATGAATGGATGGATGGATGGATAGATGGATGGATGCATGGATGAATATGTAGATGGATGGATGGATATGTAGATGGATGGATGGATGGATGAATATGTAGATGGATGGATGGATATGTAGATGGATGGATGGATGGATGGATGGATGGATGGATGAATATGTAGATGGATGGATGGATATGTAGATGGATGGATGGATGGATGAATATGTAGATGGATGGATGGATATGTAGATGGATGGATGGATGGATGGATGAATATGTAGATGGATGGATGGATGGATGAATATGTAGATGGATGGATGGATATGTAGATGGATGGATGGATGAATATGTAGATGGATGGATGGATGGATGGACAGACGGACGGACGGACGGACAGACAGACAGACAGATAGATGGACAGACGGATGGATGGATGGATGAATATGTAGATGGATGGATGGATGAATATGTAGATGGATGGATGGATGGATGGATGGACAGACGGACGGACGGACGGACAGACAGACAGACAGATAGATGGACAGACGGATGGATGGATGGATGGATGGATGGATGGATGGATGGATGGATTGATGGATGGATGGATGATGGATGGACACACAGACAGGCAGACATCCT